TCTCTTGCCACCACATCATTTGTGGGTGAAAGTATGGATGTATAACATTGTTGAAATAATAAATTAACACGTGTAACTCTATTTTTCTTTTTTTATTATATAAAAAAAAAAATTTAACAAACTATCACTTTTAATAAAAAAACAAATGTGTATTTTTATTTGATTTTAGCAAAAGTCATTTCTTAACAATTTAAGCCAAATAAATTTATTTATTTTTATTTTAATTTGTTTAATTAACAATTGAGATTAAAAAAATTAATAAAAACCATTATGCTTGACAATTTGTTAAAAAGTCATTCATTTTCTTAATGTTTTTGTTATTTGTTAAAAAATATTTATATTAAAAAAAATTATTGTTTAAATCCTTGTAGTTTAGAAAGATATATATTTTTTGTAAAATTTAAAACAAAAAATGACAAAAAATGAAAATATAAATTTTTAATAACGATTAATAATTTGAATACGCATATTTAATAACATATTATGTTTAAACTAATAATATTATGACACATTATTATGACATATGTGAATACTGATCTCATTCTAATTGTAGTAACATAATTTAAAAAAGAATTTAAATTTAAAATTTTATTTTATAATTTAATTAAAGATGCATAAATTAAGGAATGAATATTGATCTTATTCTGGTAACATAATTTAGGGAATAATCTAAATTAAAATTTATTTTAAGAATATAAATTAATATATCAACCAATCATATTGTGACACATATTAACAAAAATTAAACAAAATAAATAAATAAATAAATAAAAGAATTTCAACTTTTAGCTTTAAAAAGATAACAATGTTTTGCAATTATAATAGTATATAGATTTTGTATGAGGATTGAAACTCTCATAACATCTCTTCTTAAAAGCATTTTTTTTTTTGTAAAATATATAAATAATCTCAACGTTACTCTTAGTGGTCCTTAATATAAAAATTATGAGCTAATTATAATAATTTTAAATTTGTATTTAAAACTTATAAATCATGGGATAGATCATTATTATTTTAAATTTATATTGTGCCAATTTTAAATTTAAATTAATAGATTATTTTTCATAGTTAGTGGCTCAAATTTAAATTTTGAAATGGACTAATACACTTTTCATTTCATTTTATTTTTTTTATAGATTTGACATACCCTTCATTTGAAGTCATAAATAAAAGGATTTTAATTTTATTTTTTATATTTTTTTTGCTTGAATAAAAACTAGTCAATAGAAGATTTTTTTAATTTTTAAAAATCAAAAAATTATGAAATTTAGATTGAGAATTTGGAACTCTCAGAGATCTTATAAGTTAAAAATCCCCTTTTACTTATATAATATATAGATTTATATTTCATTTTGCTTATTTATTAGTTCAATAAATTATCTTAATAGTTTTTTTTTAGATGAGAGAATTATCTTAGTATTTGTTTTATATTTATCTATTGAGAAAATGTACACACCATAATTTTTTTTTAAATTCGGAAGAAATGTTAAAAACTCATAAATTCACCCAAAATAATATGATAATAGAATTGGAGTCTACGTCATTAAGGGTGTGTTTGATTGGGGGGATAAGGGGGAGATTATTTACTGTACGGATTGTAATCCGCACAGTAAATCCAATCTAATGTTTGTTTTTTTTTTAGTCCGCTGGACATGGAGTCCGGCTGGACTCCTTATCCCCCCATATGGGGGATTATATTATCCTAGGGGGGGTGTGGGATAATTTTGGACATCAATAAAAAGTTAAATAAAATTATTTTATTTTTAAATTGAGACATTTAAATTTTATTGAATTTTATTAAATATAATACATAATTAAATAGTAGAGGGTCAAAATGGTCATTTTCGCATCTAATCCCAACAGTGGATAGTCCCCCACTTTCTGTCCCACCCCCAGGACACAATAGTCCCTCATATGGGGGACATGGAGTCCGGCGGACTAAAAAAAAATCAAACGGCGGATAAGGAGCACTATTTGGATTACAATCCAAATAGTGGATAGTCCCCCCATAGTCCCCCCAATCAAACAAGGCCTAAGTGTATAACAAATCAAAAAATAATACATATCATATTACATAATTCTATCATATATCTAATAATTTATTCTATTTAATTTCATATAGCAATGTTCAAATTTTTTTAAAATTATCAAAATATAAAACTTAAACATACTGTAATAATAGTTAGTGCCTTGAATGGACCTTTTTAAACTAGTATATATATATATAGGACCATAACAAAATATTTGACTTGATAATTTATTAATAAAAAAGATTGTGATTTGTGGTTTTGAAAATTACAAATATTTTATTGTCAAAAAAATTTATTTATCAGAATTAAATAATAATAAAAATTTTAACTGCTCTCCTATACAATAATAAAACTATTTAAATTATTAATTTAAATATATTTCTGACATCATTAAAAATTATTAATTGATTTAATAATTTATTAATAAAAGAGATCATTTGTTATAAATTAAAAACTTCAAGATATGTAATTTCCTGAATCACATGGAACAATTCACCCTGTTTAGTTTGGAGTTTCCAAAAATAAAGTTTTGAGTTTTCAATTGGTATTTTTGTAGTTTAGTGATTTTTTAATAATATTTTAATCAAAATATTTTTTTTAATTTTTAGGTCCACTTAATATTCATATACTCCTTAAAAACATATACTTAAAAAGTATTAAATTTGTACAATTTTTTATAACAAAATACAAAAATGTATTGAATTTTCATATATATATTTTTTATATATGGTAAAAAATTTTAAATTTTTTTGACAAATATTATATTTCTTAAGTGTATATAGATTAGGTGTATCTACAAAAATTAAAATAAAAATGTACATAAAATATTAAAAAAATTCACTAAAAATAAAAAATAATAATTTTCCAAAAAATAAAAGCAACTAAACAATATAATTATTATTTATAATTTTCCTTTTAATTAAAATAATCTATTGACAAAAGATGCCTAAAAACATAAGGGCCATATTTTGTATTTGTAAAATAGTTTTTAAAAATAATTTTTTAGAAAAAATTTACAAAATATAAAAATATATTTAGTTATATATTTTGAAAATAATTTTAGAATTTTAGAGTTTGGAATGATTCTTTTTTAGGAAAATTTCCCCATAAATCTTATTTTCTGAAAAGTTGAACCATTTAGTCCTAAAAGTTTTCTTATGCACCATTTAGTCTCTTTTTTACATCACAACATCATCATCAAAACAACATCAAACATCATTATCAAAACAACATCAAACCTCACAACATCATCATCAAACAACATTAAACATCATCGTCAAAACAACATTAAGATTATTCATTTTTCTTCGTCCAAACATTAATCTAATTTTTCCCCTTTTTTAAAAATTTTTATAAAATAAAAATACGTTTCTTTCCGTCTTAATGTTTTCGATCTTCATCAGAAACTCCTCATCTCTCTCCCTCTCTCATCAATCGCATATACTTCACCATTCTTGCAAACAATCAAAATTCACAAACTGTTTCAATTCTCTCTCGTCGATCTCTCTGTTCATTTTATCTTCGTCTTCTTCGTATTGGTTTTGCTTTCAGGGTTTCACACCAATTGGAAATGGACTGGGAGAACGTGACCGCAGAAGATCTGATCGAAGCCCTACGCGAAGATGAATCTGTGTTTGATGGAGTTTTGGTTTAGGGCTGGGTGGAGATGGACAAGACTGATCTTGAAGAAGGGGAGGCTTATCTTCCTTACCCGGATGATAATCGAAACATCGATCCTGATGAAGCTTTCTCTTATATTGTAAGGGTTTCCTTAAGATCCTGATGGTGTTGTTGATGATGGCAGAGCCGCCATTGTTGGTGAAGTAATCGAATCGAATTGAATACGGTGAAGTAATCGAATCGAAGGTTCGTTTGATCCACACGTCGCAGAGATCGAATCTGTTCCGATTCGGCTTTGTCAACCTCTCATGATCTGTGTTATAAATCTAATGTTTGAAACATTATTGCAATTTTTCACGATTTTTGAAATCTGATATTTGAAATCTGATTTCAAACATTGTAATTTTTGTTGTATCGCCGGTGGGATTCAAAACCCAGATTTGATGATGTTTTGTTCATGATGTTCTGACGTTGATGTTCATGATGGTAAACATTAGATTATTGAAATCTGATGTTCATGATGGTAAATGAATCTGATGTTTAATTCTACAATTTCAAACATTATTGAAATTTGATGAACATTAGATGTTTGAAATCTAATGTTTGAAACATTAGTGTAATTTTTCATGGTGTTTGAAAACTGATGTTTGAAATCTGATTTCAAACATTGTAATTTTTCACATTATTGTAATTTTTGATGTTTGAAATCTGATGTTTGATATCTAATTTTTGATGTTTGAAATCTAATTTTTCACGATGTTTGTTCATGATATTCTGACGTTGATGTTCATGACGGTAAACATTAGATTATTGAAATCTGATGTTTCATTCTATAATTTCAGTCAATACCATGCTGGGATTTTCTTTATTTACCCTTACTAAAAAGCATAAAATATAGTGTAACACTGGTTATTTTGTCATTAATATTAGCTTGAGACTAATTGGATCATAAGATAAAACATAAGACTAAATGGATCATAAGATAAAGATTTGGGATTTATTAGTACATAGCCTATTTTTTTATTTTAGTAATTGAATAAATGAGAGTAAGAGAAAAAATAATTAATTAATGTGTATGAGGGGAAAGAAAGAGAGAGGAAAAAGAGAAAAAAAATTAATTAATTTTAAAAAATATATAATTAATTGATGTATATTAATAAAAAAATAATAATAATTTAAAATTTTCCTAATCCTCTCATCTCATCAATTAATGGTGCCGCTGATCAACCAACATGCCACGTAATTCGTGTAGCTCCCATAGGGCGGCGGCTGCTACCTGATCACAGTCAAATCCCTTGTTGACTGTGCCCCCCAACCTTTCCCACTCTCTCTATATAATAATCAACCTCGCTTCCTATTCTTGTTTCAAGAGACATCACACCCTAAAAAGCTTAGTGGATGGCGCCCAAGGAGAGGGCGGCGGACGGCGGAGCAAAAGTCAAGTTGAACGGAAAGGAGATGCATTTTCGGGGTGTACGGAAGAGGCCATGGGGAAGGTACGCCGCCGAGATCAGAGATCCAGCCAGGAAGAGCCGCGTCTGGTTAGGAACATTCGATACGGCGGAAGAGGCGGCGATGGCCTACGACGCCGCCGCCAGAGAGTTTCGCGGCCCCAAGGCCAAGACCAATTTTTCTCCTCCTCCTCCTCCTCCTCCGCACGAGAATGTCAAGAACACTAGTAATCAGAGTCCGAGTCAGAGTAGTACCGTCGATTCTTCGAGTCTGATGCTCGATTCTTCGTCTCCGTCGCTGGATCTCAGCCTCTCTCACGGCGGAGTTTTGCCACCGGTGAATCGCATCTTCTATTTTGACTCGATTTTGAGCTCCTGTAGTCGTGATGTGCAAAATCAACGGCGGAGGTACGATCACGTGACGGTGGCGGCGGCGAAGGCTGATTTTCGCGCCTCTCACGGCGTTAGGGTTCAGAGCGATTGTGTAAAGCCACATATAGCTATCGGTTTCGATCTCAACTTTCCGCCACCGCCGGAAACCGCTTGACGACGTGGACGGAGCTTTACGGATCGACGATCAACGTCCGATGTCAATACTTATCTAATCTACTACGTTTGTTTTTTTTTTTTTTTTGACAGATAAAAATGTAGCCGTTGATGTAATTTGTAGTTGAATCAATACCTTTCTGCAATGAAACATCCAATGATTTCCTGAGACTCAAACTCTCTCTCTCTCTCTCTATATATATATATATCATATTTGTATTTTGTGTTTGTATTACTTGATCTGTGGTCGGCGATTAATCGGAATCTGAAGTATGTTTGGTTTAGAGGGGAGAGATTTTAGGGTAAGGTTATGCACGAGGTGTCCGTGTGTGGGTACAGACAAACGTGAGGGGTTCGAAATCCGACGAGGCTGGAAAAGCCGCCACGTTATAGGTGTTTCAACGTGAACGGAACGAATGCTACAATTTTTGTAGCCCATTGTTTCAAGTTTATTTACAATCAATGAAAAATGACCAAAATAATAATAATAAAATTGCAAATTTAGTTTCATGTCGTTCTCATTTTCCCTTAACAATTACCACCCGAGTCGGTGACACCCAATTTTGCCATCGTTACATTACAGCTCCTTCTCACCCTTTTCCACCATTGTAGCCATTTTCCCATCCTTCCACCTCAGCTTCTCCATTTACCTTTTTTGTTGCTTTATCTAGATCTAAAGTTACAAATGAGTCTAGCTAAGTTAAATTTTGTAGGGCTCGTTATTTAGTTCGAAAATTAATCCAACTTAAGTTAGACATAAAACTCAGATAATGAATTTTTTTTGGTTTAATATTTAAATATATAAATAATATATTTCTTTTATTATTTATTTATATTTTTTTCATTATTAATCTAAAGATAATATATTTATCTTATTACTTAAATAAATAATAAATGAATCAAGTGGGAGTTGAGTCTTTTCGCACTCGTAGACAATTTCATTCATTTACAACCCTTCCTAAACCTCACCCACTCAAACCCATTAAGATCTAGATCTGATCTCAAAATTTTAAAATCAAAAACTTTAAAATAGAGACACAGAGATCAACTTGGTTATTGGGGGCACGAGATTGCAATATGGTTGCTATTGGGACTACTAGGGCAGAGGGCAACAGAAGGTAGGGAGAGGAAAGGATACTGTGGTTGCAGCGACAGCAGAAATTGTTAGTAAAAATATCAAAAAAAAAATTATATTTTATTAATAAATAATATAACAAAAATGAAATATAAATAGATCAGGATGAGACACGAATATCTTGTATTTTTTTAAGAAGATCAAGCTCACTGTAGTAGGAAGAACCTAAATACCGATGCAACAGTCATAAAACTTGACTTGTTCCTTTCAGGATACAACAGTCCGACCACTTGTCGTATAATTCAAGCCAACTCTGTATAAGATGGTGAACCCAAAACTTCACCAAGAAAAATACTATTATTTGCTAGTAATCTCTCTGGTATAGAAAGTAGTTGGTGTGTGTTGGTATAGAAAAGGGTAGATGAGAAACTATTTATAAGCCATTAGGACCTTACAAGTTACAGTAAAAATAAAAATGATCATTAAACTAGAGAAAATAAAGTAACTCCAAAAATTAACTCACCACTAGATTTATGAATTCTAATTATTCTCCATTCATAAACAAGATAAAATGTTATCAAAATAATAAAATTTCATTCATAAATAAAATATATTAATAAATAAATAAAAGATATTAAAATAGGTCAACAGAAATCAATTGGAATATGGGCGTGGGTTTTATGGAGAGGTTAGGATAATTGAAGTAAAGGTGAGGAATTGATAGTAGCCACTGAGAATAGAAAGGCCAGGGAACAAAGGAATTATAAGAGATGGAAAAAGATAAGTTCATAATTTTATAAAGATTTCCACGTATTTATAATTATTTTACAACTTTTCACACCTACATTAAATTGTAATTTTTGTGTGGATGTTATTTTACTCCCTTTTATTTTTTGAGTTCCCAGTATAAGGCTGGTAACCAAGGAAGAAAGTTGTGTGTTGATGTAAATGACAAAATGAAAAAATAAGTATTATATATTGATGATTAGGTTGAATCAAGTCATTTTAGCCGAAATTTTAGGCATGAAAGGGATTGATAACGAATTAAATAGAAACAACCCATATTTGATGATGGACACATTTTGTTGTTGAGACTGTTTGGTAAACAATCATCTTTAAAATGGAAAATGACCGGACCAATAAATTATTATTATTATTATTTTATTTTTATTTTTGTAAAATACAACTCCATTACCAACCTTTTTGACTCTTATAATTCACCTAAAAGTAATTGTAAAAAATAAATTCATGTGACTGAAAATTGGGTTTGGGGGAATAAACATAGGGGTGGCCATTGGTGGGTGTGCCGTCCATCCCGTTCTATTCAAAACATATTTTTAAGGTTTAAAAAAGAAAAAGAAATTTATATAGGACTACGCCGAATTAAAATATAAATATAAATATTTCGATCTAAATTTCAGATCAAGAATTTTATCTCAACTCAACTGGGTTAACCAATTTATAAATATTATTTTCAGTTTTATATTATTTAATTATAAAATATTTTTTTTGAAAAAAAAGTATATATATGTATGTATATATTTCTTTCTAGGTCTTATTATAAAATATTCATTAAAAGATCATATTTATTTCAGAATTAAAATTTATTAGTGTTTCAAATTTAAATAATTTAATAATCTTTCAAGATAAAATAAAATAATAATCCATATTTACTAAATTATTTATTGAATTAAGTTGGCAAATTTGAAATTTAAAATTTCTTTTACTTTTGAATTCGAAAAATTAAATTAGACTCAATTTCAAATCAAATTTAAAATAATACATATATTTTTGTTATATAGTGTGAACTCAACCCGTTATTTTTTCATTTTTGTATAAACATTGTGATCCTATTTTAAGAATTGATTCTTTTAATTAGTTATTTCAATTTTTTTTTTATGAAACTACTTGTAAAAATTAAAAAGAGCGATATAATCATTTATACTCCCTCCGTCCCAAAATATTAGTCCCTTATTCCATTTTTCATTATCCCAAAATATTAGTCCCTCTTTATAAATCAAGTACAAAAATAATGTAAATTTCCTATTTTGCCCTTCTTTTAAACTAATAAACAATTTAAAAAGTACAATTATGACATTGATATTCCCAAAAAATGTACTATCAAAAGGGTAATTTTGAAAAACTAACTTTTTTCAAATGCAATAAGTGTACTACCAAAAAAAGTTGAATTCCCCAAAAGGGACCAATATTTTGGGACGGAGGGAGTAACAACTTTGCGATTTTTTGACTATAAACTGAAAATTTCGAACGAAACCTACAAACATTGTGAAGTTGGTGGAATTGGGATATTTCGCACAACGGTTATGCTACAGACCCCCACTGGGGTCGACCCCCACTGACCCCCAGTGGGAGGTGGCAGCCCCTCATTCGTCCAAACACAAAAAAAAAAAAAAAAAAAAAAAAAAAAAAAAAAAAAATTAAACAAAAAAAAACCCTATTTTAGTAATTTTTTTATTTTTTAATTAAAATATAAGATAAAAAATTTAATATATTTAAAATATTTTTTTGATTTTTTATAAAAAATATGTAAAAAGTAGGGAGAACAGAATTCGATTTTTTGATATTGGTTATAGGTTTTTAAATTTTTTTTAGTAACTTTTTGACTTTTTAATTAAAATGTTAACATGCCAAACGAGGCTTAAGCTTCCGTTTGGGAAGTTAGTTTTGAGGTTTTTGGGGTTAAAATAGTTATAAAAAATAAAATAAGTTTTTTACCTTAATAAGACAAAATAATTATTATACTCTTCTTTCACAAAAAAAGTTAAAAAAATCGAAAAAGTTAAAAACCCTTCTCAAACCAGACTTTTTAATCATAGGTTAAAATAACTAAAAAAGTCAAAAAGCCAATCTACTTTCCAAACGAGCTTTAATAAATTTTGAGATTGAAGAACAGTTTTAATTTCGCATAGCAAAGATTAAAAGTCTCGTTTGAAATACGATTGTTTTAGTCAAAAAGTTCAAAGTATTAGAAAAATAAAAAAATCTATGACTTATATTAAAAAGTCAAAGGGTATGTTTGGTTTAGTTTTGGGAGGGTAATTTTTAAAAATTGTTTTGGGGAGACAGTTTAGAATTTTTTTTTATTTGTTTGGTTGTGTATTTTGAAAGTAGTTTTAGAGTTTGGGAGTTTAAAATTATTTGATATTTTGTTATAATTGAGTAGATGTGTATGAGAGAAAGGTAATTGATTGATAGATAAGGGAGATAAAGTGATTTTGAAAATTGTCTTGAAAAATTTACAAACCAAACAATTTTTTTAGAAATTTTTTTCTAAAATCACTCTAGAAATCCAAACCAAACATACTCAAAAATTCTCTTTTCTTTTTACTTTTTATATATTTTTTCGTAAAAAATTAAAAAATCATTCCAAACATATTAATTTTTTTTACCTCATATCTTAGCCAAAAAATTAAAAAATTACTAAAATAATTTGTTCCCAAACGAGGTCTAAGTTGTACCAATTGATTTTTTTAGTTAATTTTTAATTATTTTAATTTGAGATTAAAAATTTGTTTGGTTTAATTTTTTTAATTTTTTGTAAAAAAATAAAATAATTATGTTTTAAATATAATATTTTATCTTATTTATTTTTTTAATCAAAAGGTCACGCCAAACAACCCTCGAAAAGATAGCGCCGTGTTGACTTGGGACGACACGCCTCGACAGCGAACGCGTTACACGTGTTAGATGAGGCCGTCCAAATATCTTCCGCCCTTTTTTTATATATATTAATATTAATTTTGGATGGTTTTGAAATTAGTCGGAAAAAGTGGGGAAAGCGAGGAGGGAGACAGGACAGGGAAGCGGGGAGACCACGTATACGCGGGCGGCAGAAGTTGGATGCGCGGCTGTCGCTTTTTGGGGCGGCCCCACAATTCGACCAAATCCATGGAGAAGATTTGGCTTTCCATTTTAATAATGCCCCCACAACTCAAAAAAATTTTTTTTTAATCATAGGGGGTGTTTTGAGAACAAAATAAAAAGTTAATTTTTAATTTTTTATTTATTTTAAGTCACATTATTATTTATATTTTTTATTTAAAAAAAATAAAATAAGTTAAAAAAGTTTAAAAAATTAATT